ATTCTGACAGTCATGATAGGATGCGGCCTTTTTAACGAGCTCCGTTCTGACTACTAACAAAACGTATGTTCTGTAAAAAGTAACTACTTAAATAGTAAGCGTTTTTATCATTCATCTTGATTGCCTTTACAAAGTCAAATATATGTTATGAAAAAATGCACGAAAAAAGTGGTTCTTGTACTCGTTTGGTGGCAAATTACGCCTTCTTTAAATTTTATACTTAAAGAAAGGATATTCTTCGGTTTTAGAAAAATTTCTAATTATGAGCTTTTTTACGATTGTGAGGTGTCCATGCATAATGCATCGTATCCGTCAATTAGTTAGTGCTGCCTTTACTGTATGAAGGATGCTCCACACGTATTGCAACATTTTTGAGAACTATGTGACTTCTCCCTCAAACTATAGGTGAAAACGTACTTTTCCTTAAGCAGGATGTACACAGTACGCAGTTTTTAAACCTTGAATTCGAGTGTAGCAGCCAGTATGTTTCAACATTATTCAGAAATTTAGAAAGTTTTTTTAAACCGAAAGATACCCTTTCTTAAAGTATGCAATTTAAACAAGACGTAATTTTCTACCTGCATGTTTTCCATAAAATATATTTGAATTTACAAAGGCAGTCAAAATCAATGATAAAACTCATATTATTTAAGTACTTACTTTTTGTAGTACATACGTTTTTGTCAGAAAGAAGCTCATTAAAAAGCACGCATCCCCTCATAACTGAAATAACTTCAGAATAAACTGCCAGATAACCAGTATCACAACCTGAATCAATGCCGATTAGCGAAAGAGTATCAATCTTTCGCATGTGTCGGCATGTTGCACGAATTCTGGTGCGTACTGCACAGCATATTAAGGCAAGCAGCGCATTTACGGACAGTTGCAATCGGACCAATCAGATTGCGTCCTTGAGGGGTAATTTGCCGAGTGGCTTTCAGGCCGACCGAGTGCTAGGACAGAGCATTAACCTCGGCCGGCGGCTTCTGCAATCTCATCACGCGCACGACCTGTATCGATCGATAGTGTCGTATGGGACGAGTCATCGGGACAGCGTGATAACGAGTCTGTTAGGCCTGCTCCTAGCAGCAGCAGCAGCAGCAGAAACCTCAACGAAGCAACCGAAGTTAACTGAACCGATGTCAAACACCCCTTCTTCTACAATTTAAGAAAGTAATTGTGAGTGTCATCTTGCATTGGGCATCACACTGAGTTTTTTCCCTACAACCTAGTTCCCGCGTCAGTCGTCAGTGTTGTGTTTCCACAGTGGGGCGCGCAGTAGACGTTGTCGCTTTTCACTCAGGTGCGAAAGCGAGATGGGAAACAAGCCCATATCCAGCCAAGTCTTTGTTGTATCAACGTCTAATGCAAATATTTTGATATTTTTGACAAGTAGTAAAAATAGTAGGTTGGGATGGACCTAGAAAAATCTCACTAATCAAGATTTGAAAAATCGCAGCCATGGAGGTTCACCTCAGTTTTTGCTCTTAACAGATACCCGGAGTTAGTAAATGTGTCCCCAATCTGCAAGATACTGCCGGTGCCCGTATATTTTTTTCGCTTTCCAATATTATTTCTAATCAACTCGTCGTTAACGGCCCACGCTCTTTCGCTCCCTCTCGCTCAGTCTTTCTTTGGAAGAAAAGAACATCCTGGAGAGATCGCGGGTCACCACTTTGGAGCAGTTGGCTTCCATTCAGAACGAAATGGAACAGCTGAGACAACTGCTACAGGCGACGTCTCGTGAGCGGGATGAGCTCGCGGAACAGCGCGATGAGAAACGTCTGGCCTATGAAAGCGAGGTAGGCACACCGCCATTCCTCCCCGCAACTGTGTACTCTGCTTGAGTTTTTTTAAATCCGGACACCACCAGATTTGCTGTTAGTAACAGAATAGTAGTTATGTAGAAGGCCCTGTCCTTTGCTATTGTCCCCTCCTCCTCTGTGGGTTTATTTAATTGCAAACTCTCCATGCACCAAGCAGCTCCATTCGCAGCCACACACACCAACACAACCAGTCATTAATATTACATATATTTGCGCTACTTACAGTTAGTGAGTACATATTAATGTTTAATTTTCCGACTGAAAGGTATCTGCTGGTTTCTCGCATGCGTTCATGTAAACAATCCCCTTTTCAAGCTCGTATATTTATTGGAGCTTTTGTCTCAGACATTGTTAACAACTAAGGAGTTTAAGGGCGTTTGTTTAGTTTTCATCTTTATAACTGATCTGAATTTGCTCAAAATTTCCTCCAGACTCGGGAGACAGCAAGACTGCAGAGACTGTTGGAACAGGCGGAATCGCGATCTTCCCAGCTGCGGGAGAAGATCACTGAAATGCAAGATCTGCAGCGCAAAACGCAAATGGAGAAGGACGTGCTTGGACATGAGAAGAGCGAGGTCTTGGATCGGGCCGAGAAGGCTGAACAAAAATTAATGGAGCTGGACAAGAAGATGGCAAATGTAAGTTTTAAAGGACAGTTTTACTTATTGATCTTCGCAGGACAACTTTTATGTCTGTCGTGAGAGTTATAATTGACGTTAGCCGGTGGTTATACTGCTAAACATTTCATCAAACTTTGGAAGAAGTTTAAATGTGCTATCACTGGACGTGTTGAACGAAATTCGGAAATGTATTTGCGTTTTGAGAAGATTAGTTAAATAGTATTGAGCAATAATTATCGTGCAGCATAATATCAAGTTACCTCAGTCACTTCAGGATGCTGGCTTTTGAGCGTACTTCTTTCCGGCCACTTGCTAAAACTAAGGTCTGTAAAAAATGTCTGTTTTATGTAGTAGACATTTTTCTCATTAATGTTTAGTTTTATTATAAACGCAAGACTCATTTACAGAAATTACACACTAAAGTATTCTTTCTTGTAGTCATATAGTAGAACATTACGTCTTTTTCGTGTCTTATTCCTGAAGAAAGGCATAATTCGGCTTTGACTGAAGTGTATCCTTTCCGAAGACTTTTGAGGCTGACCTGCTGTTAGGTGTGCATTTTCTGTACACATCCAACTATGTAATTCCTTATAGTAAGTCTGTATGAAATAGAAAAATGATCGATAATGCCACTCGACACGAACAAAACTTCAAGATAAGCCCAGCATGACTGCCACCCTTCAACGGACATAGCTGTTAGAACCATTCAGTATGAACAAATCTCACACTATTGGAGTGCACTACGTAATATATAATAAGCATAAACTTTCCAGTTTCAGTAAGGCCTAACAGCTCGAACAAATATAAACGATTACGTATAAAAATATGACAAAGGGTTGTCGCAACGCGACTGTGTTAGGAGCTGCCCTAACTAACTCACTCGTAGGCCGCCCTGGCGACTTGTTTCCACGCTAAACTACCGATTCGGTCACATGCAATGCAAACGATGACGCGCAGGCTGTCACCAGCATTTGGACTCTACTCTGCCAGCCAGATGAATCAGAAAGCCAGTCGAGCTGCTACCCACCCGAAGGCACTATCTGACAGGTCCTATTGCAGGCCGATCTTGCACCTACACGAAGGTGCCTTGTTTGCTGTTAGCCTATGGCAATACATTTCCTTTGCTCTGCCCTCGCATTCGAGTTCTCTTTTCTGGATTCGAACGAACGATAATCGTGTCCTGCGGCAAGATTATAACAGAGAGATCTTAGACATTCTCCGTCACGGGTGCAGATTATGAGCAGATCTCACCTAATTGAGGGGAATGCGCTCTGCTACAGCCATTCACCATTTTTCGGTACAGGAACTCTGGTAATAGGGGTTTTACGGGTGATGAATGTGGAAAAAGCGTAAATAAGCCGGGAGAAATGACTGAAAAAGAAGGGTGCAGAGCTTGGCAGCATGTTTTCTTTAAGTGAGTAAATAATGA